GAAATGCCAAACAGTTGTCAAAACTTTCTTACACGGGAGAAAAACCATAAATTTTGACAGTGTCGAAGAATAAAAAATATTACTTATTAAAAAATTAATTTGTGTATGTCCAGTAAGGTCAAGGACGACAACAACGCAAACTGATTTTATGACAAATATCATAAAAATTATCCCTTGATGGAGCTCTTTGTGAAGAATTTTTCGATTTTACCAGATAAATAAAAAGTATGGGACCAGACGTTTTATGCTTAAACTATTTATTTTTTGATGAATAATAAACTATTATAAAAATGTGTCGTTTTATCAAGAATATTTTTTTTCAAATTTTTTTTTGTTTTTGTGTTCTACAATTTTTTTATTATTTTTTTTTTAATATAAAACCATTTTTTCTGAAGATTAGATCCAATGATTACAACTGTCTACTTTATATTTAATTTTTTCATTTTATTTTACATAAAATGCAATTTTGACAAAAAAATCGCATAACTCAAAACTAAAACAAAATTTCGTTCTAAAAATATGATCACATTTTTTATATTACTTCAATTCATAATAATTATTATTTTCTGGAGACAAATGATTAAAAATAAAAACGCTTGATTCCATACTTTATATTCACTCTGTATAGATCTAGTGATCAAAAAATGTCAATGATGCATTTTTGGAAAAGCTTTGGGGAAAAAATCTCCTGTCTTATTTTTTTGAGCTATGATGAAATTTAAAAAAAAATTAAAAATTTTACTAAGCTGGCAACCTTGCAGCCGAAATAATGAAAGTAGCGAACAATTACGGTTATTTTTGTTTCTCAAGAAGCAAAAAAAATGACTGATATTACAATAATTCTTATCCATTGTTGTCAAATATAATTTTAGGAAAACTACACCTAACATTTTTTAAATAAAAAATTATTTGTCCAAGTCTTACACAAATGAATTTTTAATGTTGTTTACAATGAAATAATTTTCTATGTTATAGAAAAGGTAGCAAGTTAACATAGACCAGAATTATAAAATTTAT